TGCTAACAATCATTGACATCGGATTCCTCACACTAACGTCATTTAGAAGGGTCGGCATCTTCTCGAATTCTTCGAAATTCTCGAATGAGGCCATTTGGGGCTTTCCGTGGGCCATGCGCCGCATCAAGAACACAAGGTTACAGATCCTCGGTATAACCTGGCTAGGTGTTTTCTATACATCGTCGTCAAATTAATCCACGTTCTGTAAACTGTTACCCGCAGGTAAGTACCACAACCTCACAGAATCGCACACGCAGCGACTCTAAACTTCAAGCTCAAATATCTCGCCGACTTTTCGCTCGCTTTGCGACTTAGATGCTAGATCCGTCGCGCACAGCCGCCTAGCAATTAGGTCTTAGTTAAAGTAAAACGAAGCTGCTGCTGCAATACACGGGCGCCGTTGTTGCTGTCGTGGCATAGCGCGTAATTCCTTAGCCGGAGGTGCTGGGCTTCGTCCGCGCGCTTCCGCTGCATTTACCCCACTTCGCTTTTGGCCACCGTTGCGCGAAGCTGCCTTATCGAGAAAAAGGTTTAAACCAAATCGTTATTTCGCAGCGCGCAGAGGTTTCACAGTTTTATAACCGTTTACAAGGCAGGTGCTCATTGAATGTGAGGACAGCCAAACGACAAAACCAATAATCACTGCGTTTCCTATCTCCAAGCTGGCCGCATACAATTGGGTCAGGGGAGTCATTATTAGGGCGATAGCTGGCAGTTAGGGGTATGGAGAAATGGGCGAGGAACGTGACCAAACTCGTGGTACGCGTGTGTTCCGTAACGCGGCGCAGAGGCGTCGATGTGGGTGCTTTTCACGCGGGAGTGTTGTGTGTCGTTACAGGGAACACAGTGAGCCGATAGCTATTTGCAATAATCTTGCTCGCCCACCTGGCCTCACTTCTCGGTGGAACAAATGATTTTCTCCGTCTTCTCCGGTTGGACAATCGCGCCACGGCTTCTCGACACCGTATCTATAAACTGTTCTTTTCAATTAGACAGACACCAAACAACGAATTGATTCTTTTTCGCATTGATCGGGTCGGCTGCACGCCCTGGCAGCATGGCGTGTGAGCATGTGCCACCATTTTCCTGCTTCTGCGTTTCGCATTGCGTCTGTCTGGCCTTTTTGAAATGCGAAACGTGGGTCGCTTATTGGGATAATATATCTAGGATTATGTGTGCCCTGTTGAACTCGGAAACTCGCCCTAGTTGTCGTTGAATGCGAATAGGACAAGTACATCTACGGTCTATTTTTCGCTGTCTTCTTTTTGATCGTTCTGTTTGTACGGGAAAATTTTCCATCAGTAAATTCTTTTCCTGCCGGGTGCCGGTTTTTATATGTAACAATTTAGCTTTCGTATCTTTCCGTTCATCTCGTCCTTCCCGTCCGTTCCGTTCCGGGCACCTCCGTCTAACCCATCCTTCCAGATCTCTCTCTTCACTCTTTCAGTCTGCTCACATCTATCAGAGCTTTACCTAGGATTTATTATGTTAAAGTGCATCAGCGAGCTCAGACGACAGATTATATTGAGCCCATAAATGATTGCACTTTGTACGCGAATTTTTTTCAACTATCACTCTCACGGTCGCGCTACGCACGTAGACGTGAGGCTTGAGTGACCTACGTGTGCATGGCAGCAGCGGTTTCTGCATGTAAAGCGACCCATTGAAGATCTTTCGGTCACCGGCCCAGAATACAAATAGATTTCTTATGCCTCAACTAAATACGACGCTCTAGGTTTACGTAAAGCTGTTTTCTATACGGTCGGCTACTCAGCGCGAACAACGCTTAAGCACCCGCCGATATCGGTGGTTCGCAACGCCGTCTCTTAGAACTTCTTTATATGGCTTCTTCACGGATCTGCCTCTTTAACTAATTATTACTATTTCAAACGAAAGCTGCTGACCGGGTAGCGACTGCATAACGCATACGTAGTCCTTCTATTTTTGTATCAGGATCTCGTTTCCTGTAACCGGCCGCCAAAAGAACAAGTTCAACGTGCAAAAAGCTGATTTGAAAAGTTTCGATGGTGGATCTAAACTTTGCAACAGTAAAAACCGCGTCAATTAATTTATTTCGATCGATAAATGAGAATAACTATAAATCGCATCTTTTACCACTCAATTTGATATTCATCACTGGCATCTGTAAGTTGCATTTGAGTATTACTGGTATTTAATTATTATTCATTATTTGATTATTATACTTGTTGGTTGTTATTATGTATCGCAGTAACAGCTTTATTTCTCGTTAACAGATTACTACAGGCACTTTATTTGTTATCCTTTTTTACACTCTTCACAATATTATCACCGCTGAGCAGTCCTTTCGAGTAGAGAAAACACAAATGGCATAACAGAGAGATCACCGCAGTGCCGCGCCAACACCCCTAGGTCTGCTACGGCATGCATTTCCAGCCATTGCATGTGTAGGTAATGGATGTGCAGGACGGAGGGAGTGGGCTCCCCACTGCGCACAAGGTGACCCATAGACTTCGTAGGTCAGCCAACAACGAGCCATCGCGTTGCTCGCTGTTGAAGGCCCGGAGTACCCCGGCAGTGTATCTGGCCGCGGGCCGGACAATCCTGTAGGGTTTCCCGATACAGAAAAACCCGCCGCATCTCGGCGCAACTTTGCACCTCCTGATTTCAGATTCAAATTATTCCAGTACGTGGAAATACTTAATTACCGCCCGCGGCATGGTCATTTGCCTAAGTCAAACTGTTGGTCGTATCCAAAGGTGACGTAGTCCCTCCCGAGTTCCGTCAGATATGTGCGAGCAACCCCACTGTCATAGTAACACAATAATTCTCTCGTTTAGCAGCTTTGCCACACGGTTCGTGTCACCCGGGTTGGCAAATGCTAGTAAAGACAATGTTGAGCCCTGCCGGCACTTTTCAGACAAAGCCTTGCTATTTGATTTTGAGTGAGCGCCTTTCATCGTGGCTACCATTACTTAGCTGACGTAAAGTAAGTCGGCTGTCAGTTGCGGCATGCATGGACAAACCGTAGGAAACTCGTAAGATAATTAATTGCATCCATAATACGCTTTTTTAGCATTCCTAAAACACGTATGAAGCTTACGCGATGGTGACATATGCATATCTCCTCTTCTCGTGTCCTTCTCTCTCTCTCCGTCTCCCTGTCTTCTCCTCTCGTTTCCTTTGGCCACAACAACCACCACACACCACACACCAACCCAACACACCATCACACTACACACACACACACACCAACCACACACACCCACCACACACCAACAAAGAGGAAGATAAGCGATTAGACAAAGATAGAGG